AAAAAAAACAAACATCAGCTGCTATTTGTGTGCTCACAAGAATGTACATGTGCAAATAGTATGTGTGTGTGTGTGAGAGAGAGAGAGAGTTTTTGCTTAATTCTTTAGTGTTTTCAATGAACCCATGTAAAGTAGGCTATCTCGTGGCAGCAGATCCCTAGTGGTCATTACCCTTTTTTTCCTGCTATTTCTTGGCATGTATGCTCACTGAATTATCTTTCTTTTTTCTTTTTCTCTTTTTCTAATTCAGCTGTAGTGTCTTTTCAGGAGAATTATCTATAAATAAAAAGAGCTAAATTATTAGGTTTTTTTTACCCCAAAAGGCAGAAGAGTTGGGGGCTTTTTCTAGCTTAACCTCGTGTCAGCAGTCTTCCTCACAAGCTGTACAGCTCCAACAACCTCCATTAAGAAGGTAGGGCAGATTGTATGTTGCCAGACAGGCAAAGTCCAGGGCTTGTCCCACAGATTTGCATTTTCTTTGGATGACCTTGAGGGTCAATTCTGGTGAACTGAAAGAAAATTATCTATAATTAAAAACAGCTAAATAATTTTAGCTAAAAAAGGCAGAAGAGTTGGCAGACTTTTTCCAGCTTTGAGTCGTGTCTGCAGTCACCTCCACAACAAACTGCAAAAGGTCTGCAAATGTGTTACTAATACTACTCAGATCAGCATTTTAAGATTTTAATCAACTCAAAGCTTCTACCATCTCGATTTTGGTGGCTGGATAGTCGGAGGATACAGTTTAGTGGTCTATTAGTGAATAAATCAAACTGAAACTGTGAAAGTGAGGAGGACAGAAATGTGGTTTGTCAGTCTCATCCTGTGGACTCAATCTTCTTGATCTTGTTTGTACTGTTTTTCTGTGAGGAGGGACAAAAATAAACAATATATGTACTGTTTTTTCCCCATAAATCAATGCTTTGGTTTCCACTGATATCAGTATATGCAACTTTAAAACACATTAATATCCCATGCATCATACCCTCAAACCCTCACATAAAACAACTGTGTGTGGAACTTTTAAAAAAGTTTAAACGATGGCGCCCTCCAGTGGTAGAAAACAACATGCTGCTACAAGTTTTCTACAAGCAGAAAAGATTTGGATCTACTTTTCTCAGTTGATTGTCTTTTCTTACTATTGTATTTGTGTACAACTTTATTTATTTGATTGTTATTCATGTTGTAAATACATATTCTTTGACTTTATTCCTTGGTAATATTTTCAATGTATTTGATTTTATTTATTTGAAAGCTCACCAATAACCAATACCAATAATCTGACATTCAAAGTTTAACACACAGATTTTTACCATCTGGAAGGAGGAACAAAACTATTTTGGGTAACTGTAAGTCAAAGTGTCTCTCTGACAGGCGCCTCCACTAAATCCTACACATTGGTCCTTTATGAACACTTTTTACACAAACATATTCTGCATGTAGACACACAATTCAGCACCCACACTGATTATCATTCACTTTAACACTTTTCAAACACACCACCATGGTGCCAAAGATGGTGCCAAAGAAAGGGATTTTCACATCCTATGCAGAAAGGCTTCCACTAATAAATCAGACAAAACAACATTTCTAAAAAGAAACAACAACAAATGCATCATCAGAAAGAGAACCACTCATAAGTCTTTCTCGCTGACTTTGTGAAACTAGATGAACTACTTTTTCTCAAGCAAATATATTTTGGCAACACACTTGGAGGAATTTTAAAGAGAACTTGCAGTGTAGGTCTACTGTAAGTACTCTTAACTACCAGGTACCTGTTCTAATATTAAGGGGTATATTATGATCATTACAGAGCAAGAAAAGCTGGAAGTGATAACAGATGATAACAGGTTACTTACTAGGTTTGGGGTACTTTCTAATTAATTGCAGTGCACATTTATTTTTACTGTGAAATAAACAGAGGTCCCAGGAAAAGGCTATTGTCAGGAACACACCGTAGTCCTGTAGTCTAAATATTACTGTGCATGTTGCATTTACAGTACAACATTGTACTAACTGTACTTAGGGGTGGTTCAGGGTTGTGTGGATTGATACTGTTGTTACACAGAGTGTTATTTGTTACTGTTAGGGAGTACAGGAAGTAAACAAGTGGATGCTTGTTTATGACCTGTGTAGGGATGGTCACGCTCACATTCTCATTTAATTCCTCCCAAACATAATTTTACTCTCGTTCAGTAGTTCATACTATAATCCTGTAATTTTGGAAGATGGACCTTTTTAGTTCCATATCCATATCCATATCTTTAGTTTAGATATTAGCTCCTGCTTCCTTAACTTCACATGTTGTTCCTTGTACCCAACAGTATGATACATTTCTGAATTACTGGAGGTGTCTCCTTTCTTTATGTGAAGACATTAAGTGTGTATGATATTTTTACAAAGCATGGCTCACCATTTTGTTGTAGTTAACACAGAAATGTTTGTTAGGGACATTTCTGGTAATTTGGGACACACATTTCCATTAGTGTAGGCCCTTGCTGTCAACTCTCAACATTTAACATTTAAAACTGATTTCTTGTTTTTAGTATAGACTATGTCAAAGGTTAATGGATATTATGCCTGTTATGATGTGGTATAATAGCTTAATTCTGTCCTCACTCCACTCGTCTGCAATAGATTATGGATAGGGGTTAACCCGTATATTAAACAAAGTAATCAAGACTTTTGTAGGCTACAGCTGAATCAGAAGGCATCAACATTGCTGCTTAATTAGACTAAATTCCTTGATGTCACTACTTGCACACTAAACATAAAACTACATTTTGACTTTGGTGGTAACTATCGTCTGAGAAAATTATTATATTATGCTAGTGTGAACAAACTATAAGACCTATTATTACAGACAATCTTGGGGTATTAGCATCAATTAACTCCAATTAGCAGACTTGGTCTTGGAAGTTGTTTTGACACAGATACAAGCCCCTGTTTTGTATCAGGTTATATGAATAAATATTTCATTTACATTCAGTTGCAGAAGTACAATGCTGTTTTCTTTTGCTGTTCCAATTTACTTAATGTCCCCATATATCTGAATTAATTCATAAATTTACATTATTTTAAGTGTTACAGGTGAATTTTATAGGTTGCACAATAGGCCTAAATGTGAAATGTAGGATGTTGATGTAGCAACCAATGGAATATGTTGAATGAAGTAAAGTACTGCAACATTTACATCCTGATTTATATCACGAAAAAAGCTGATTTAACAGATTTAATCTTTTACTGAAAATGATTTTCAAGTCGCTTTTATTTTTTTAAGTTGTCACTTTTGTATTTGTTTAACTGTATATTGTCTATACGTCTGTCTCTGGGATACTGAGCTCACTTTAGGTGAACTGAGGGTTTGTGAAGAAATGCAACTGTCAAGTTTTGAAAGAAGACTGACATTGAGCTTATGTCATAACTCAGTAGCCTGTTTCAATTTACACCCAAAACAGAGAGCAGACCTAATGCCAAAACTACCAGCATTATCTACACAAAACCCCTCGAACAGCTCCATGGAAGTCTTTATAAGTTCCCAGATAGATTGTTACCCTCTTTTTCACTAACTTCACATCTTGCACCCTACTTACCTATCAGTAGCCTACCATAACGGTGCAATGTTAATACAAAAAGCTACCTGTTCGGGGACAGAAAGGTGGCATTGCCATCACAATAACAAAAAGTGATTTGTTTTTTTAGGTTGAATAACTTCATTTGGGGTCTTTTTTAAGCATTCCAAGCAAATATTGATATATGTGATTGTTTGAGATTAAATCAGCATATATTTCTGCCACCTCTAAAAAGTCTAAAGGCCACACCCTGGATGCATTAATATTGCTCCACATCTGATCCTGGCTAAAGCATTACTTCACTTACATGTGTTTCTTACATAGATTGCAAAATAAATGTGAAATGTCATTTGTTCCTGTATCAATTAATAGAATATTGTGAAGCAAAATACTGCAACATTATGTCCTGATTCATGTTTTATCTGCTACTAACAATTATTTTCAGTTCTTACTTATTTATATGACTTTATGGCTGTCTCTGGGATATTGAGCTCACATGAGGACAGCTTGGAGGAGACTTCAAACTGTCATGTTTTGTAACAAGAAGAGGAAGGCAGTTGGAATATAAAAGGCTGGCTTTGGAAGAGTTGACATCTTCCCTCGTTTTTGTCTCACAGGGTTGATTAAAAGTCTCATTGTTCATAATGCAGTTTTACGGAGTTCTTGTTATGATGGTGACTCTGTCTACAGGTAAGCCTATGAGTTATATTACATTACATTACATTTATTTAAATTACACTATATCCAAAGCAACTTAAAATAAGTGCATCTAACTATTTGGACACACAAATCTCAGAAATCATCAGCTTCAGTCAACAACAGATGTGTTTTCAGTCTCAATGTCAGATTTTGTAGAGTTTCTGTTAACAGTCCCACCTTGTAGTGAGTGAGTAAAGAGCATAATGGATTGACATTGTAACACAAATTAACATAATAACTGAGTAAAAGTTATTGATATAACTTTCAAAGGGTAGTAGCTTTTTAACAGTGTTTTTTAGAGGGAATTAGGATTCATATTTGTCAGCTCAAACTTCTCTTCACATTCTCTTAATGTAAAGTTTTCTGTGGTTGCAGAGGACATTACCTGAAACCTTTGTAATGATGTCAATCTAAAACCACATTAACAAAAACATCTATTTAAACTTATGGGGTTTTTAGTGAACATTTGTAAAACAATGAGATTTAGATTTGATGTAACTTAAACCATGTGTGACTGTGTTTCTGTGTAGCCTATGGACTGAAATGCTACGTATGTGGTGCTGACAATAATTGCCAGCAACAAACTTGTCCTGACATCTCGGACAGTTGTTCAACCACCACGGTGAATGGTAAGTTGTTTTTCCACAACGGAACAATTTTTTTACTAATAATAAGCATTTCAAATAGATGGAGCTGATATATTTATGTACCGAATGCCTGTTAGTTTTTGTTGTCGGTATTGAGGTTTTTCCATTATATTTTTTAGGTGTCACCGTCAAGAACTGCGGGGTCCTTGCTTCCTGTCCAAGTCCCATGAAATGCTGCAAAGGGGACTTGTGTAACAGTGCCATACCCACTGGTTCCAGTGTCTTCCTCCTGATGGTATCCTCAGCCATCATCACACTGTTTCTCTGAGGCATTCTTCTCTGAGAATATCATGTAGAAATCTGTGAATGACTACAGAGAGAATTGCTCAATAAAACTACAATTTGATTGACCGTTGAATTCATTATTTCTTTAGGTTCTGCATTTCACATCACTATTAACAGAAAACATAGCTTTGTTATAAAGCCCTATTTAGAAAGGACGACAAATAAGGTTTTACATCTTGTGGTCTTTAAATATTAGCTGCCAATCACCAAACGTGTTATTGCATTGTTTCTACAAATGTCCTTCACACGAAACAATATTTTTTATTGGTCTGAGATAACTAAGAAGGACAGAGCAAAGACTTGGAAAATCACTGTTCCCAGAACATGTAAAATATGTGGCCTGTTGATAAAAGTACTGTAGCTAAAACAAAACGGTTATAGGATGTTAACTGTTATGGGAAAGGGTTTGAGTGACTTTTACTTAAAGTCTTAAATAATAAAAAATAATCATTTTTCTAAAGTGAAATGTTTCTAGGCTACCAAGTGCCATAAAATCAGTTGCTCCTATGCTAGCGTATGCCACCCTGTCATCTTAGACATTTTTAATATTTGTGTCACAAAATATTAAACATGATGGATTGAGTTCATGACAGCCCCAGTTGTCTAGAACAGTATGTTAACAGGCCCAGTTACCTAATATGAGAGTGAATTTCTATCTATTATTGTGCCTAACAGACTGTTAGTTCCTCTTCTGTCTGTGGGCAAAGCAATGGTATTCCAGTGTGAGTGTGGAAGCTTTCATGTGTTACACATGAAGGTTGAGAATTATGTCCCCAAACCTGTGAAATCTCACAGGATAACGGCAGGGAAACACAAGCTATAATCACAGAGCCTTCAGTCTCTGCTAAACAGTGCTCATCCTGCATTAGAAAAGTTAAAAAGACTAATAGAAGCTAATAGAACAATGCCCGAGCATCAGGGAGAAGAAAACACTGAATATGTTAAAATGAAGCAAATTAATGATTGACAATACAGACAGAGAATTAAATACATGACTCGTATTAAGAGAAACTCTACATGCTACATGGCTTACCTTACAAATTCTGGGACCAGTGATTTTCTGAATCTTTGCTCTGCCCATCCCATCTCAGACCAATCAAAACAATCATTTCATAAAGGACTTTTGTAGCAACAATGCAATAACATGTTTGGAGCCCAGGATTTAAAACCTTATTTGTCCAATTTTGCCTCACAAGCCTATTTTACCTGAACCTGTCATCCTAGTGGAGTATGGGTTCTTGGTGTGTTTTGAAGGTCTGAAGTATTTCACTTGGCAACATGTTTTCTTTATAAACATATAGCAAAGATCCATAACAAGTTCTAAAAGTAACATTTAAGGTAGTCTTCAGGATTTCAGGTGGTTTTCTTGCTAATCTTAGTGTCCCAAATGACTAATAGACTCCACTATACGTGGTTAGGTGTTGATTCTGATGAATAATAAAGCAGAAAACCAGACCTTAAGATGTTGGACTTCTTCCTTTGCTGCCCTTTTACTTTTCACGTCACCACAAAGTGCAAAGTAAACAAAACAGGACAAACTTTCTCACGACTTCATACACAAATAAAATGTAGAAAAAGATTCGATGAGGTCAGATGAAGCTGGATGAACCTGTCACAAAACGTATTTCTTTATGCACATGAAGCTGCTAAATATTTTCTATTATCTTTGTAAAAGACAGTGTTAGGTTGGACTTTCTTTTTAGACGTGGAAAAAAGAAAAAAATCAGACAATGTTACGTATATAGTATATGGCACACTAAGAATAATGCCTTTATAGATGAATAGGATGAAGAAAATCTACAGCTAATGCAAAAGGATAGCGCTTTCCAAGAGTAGTTAGTCAAATCTAATATTATCTAAAGTTAGTCTTGTTTGTTCATAGGAGCTTATATAAAGATGGTTCATTGAATAATTCGTGTAAAACGGAGCATATTGTTGTTGCCACTGAAAACTCTGATTACATAGCTATGTTTAGGGTAACAACAACCTTTGGAACCTCACTTAATGTGAAGCAGAAAATGACAAACGACAAACAACATACTACTTATTTGGAGTTTCTCTTTTTTTCTCATCCACAACAATAAAAAGACCGTTAACATTACCAATCACCACTTAAGAAACACTTCCCTTCAGCATTTCAAATTCTCTTTTTCGTCACCTTGGAAATGCCTGAATAGATTTCACTAAAAGCCTCCAACGGTAAAATATTGGCCAATTCATTTATTCAGTGTTTTGACAAAATCCCTTTAACTGACAGTTTGCATTTTGAGATCTACGTACAAATTATAAAACATAAGAATTATGGACATACTGTGGTATTTTCTCACAGTTGTTCATCTCTATATACGAGTAACATTATTCCAAATTATACATTTGTTTTTTTCAGAAATGTTGCTGTTTAATTCAAAACACCTTGTGTAAGATTTCAACATTTCTAACTTTTGCACCTCCTGGTGGTAGTATCAAGGCTGACAGTTTATAGCAAGATCATTTCATTCTTCAACAAACAAAAACCATCAGAATAATTCAAAATATGCTCTAATCCCATACAACATCTATATGTAGTAACTTAAACATTTCAAAAACAGTGCTGACTCAATATTATATAGTAGAATTATTTTCAAGCAAGGCATTTAGATGAGTTCACCAGTAGCACGCTTTACTCTCATGCCAGCAATCACTGTGTAAGGACAGACAGACTTATATAATTAGATGGCAAATGTCTCATGTCAGAATAAAATGTACTTTGCAATGCCAGTGTTTCAAAATGTGAAGGTGCAATTCATCAAGCATATCACTGTGTAGAGTGTTTTATCACTATACTGGTTCTCTGTGCTAAAGTTGGCATAGCTTAGTTCAGCTGATAAGGCAAGTAAAGACACAAGGCAGACATGGACAGCACTTAAATATGGCATCTTTGAGAACTGTTTTACAAGGCAAACAAGTAGTATAATTGATCATAATAAATCTATTTCTTACTGAGGATCAACAAAATAATTATCACAAAACAAATGTTTTCTTTTAAATCTACCCTGAGCTGTGAATTTAACTTGTGCAGATGACAAATAGCAATAAAGCCACAGATAGATTTTGGCACTGAAATGACAGAATGGCACTACAGGTCGATGAACATTGACATAAAAATATTTGTCCGTTGATCACATCAAGTACTCAAGATTTAAACCCAGAGTGAATTCACTTGAATTTGCTGTATATACAATCAAATACTATCCACACATCTAAAGGAACTAGTTCATAAATATACAGAGAAAGTGAAAAGTGAATTATGAGATACATGTTCAGTGCTATGCAAATGAAGGCATGTTAGCTTAAACGTAGGTAGTTGGGAACATTATGATTTTCCACAATACAGCAGTTATCATGTTGACATAAGGTGAGGCATGTCCACTGAGTAGGAGTGCATTTGTCCAACTCAAAGTGCTCATTTATTGCCAGCGCCAAACCACGATAAAGACACATAATTTGTTACCTTATCGTGCAGTTATTCAGTTTATAACCTTGAATAAAATTCACACTGAAAGAAATAAGGATAATTCTCACCCTAAAACTGAAACCATTCGAGCTGTGGGACTAGAAATCTAGATGCCCATTAGGTGGAAGACTGCAGTGATGAGACAATCTGAG